AGAGGTTAAGAAACTTGCCCAAGGTCACACAGCTAGTAAGTGGCAAAGCAGCATGCACATGCAAACCATCTGGCCCCAGATGTCAGAGTCTAAGTCCTTTTTTGTTGTTGTTGTTTTTGAGACGGAGTCTCTGTTGCCCAGGCTGGAAGGCAGTGACACGATCTCAGCTCACTGCAACCTCTGCCTCCTGGGTTCATGAGATTCTCCCGCCTCAGCCTCCTGAGTACCTGGGATTACAGGCGCCTGTCACCACGCCCAGCTACTTTTTGTATTTTAGTAGAGATGGGCTTTCACCATGTTGACCAGGCTTTGTCTCGAACTCCTGACCTCAAGTGATCCACTCGCCTCAGCCTCCCAAAGGGCTGGGATTACAGGCGTGAGCCACCACACCCGGCTGAGTCCATGTTCTTTAGTTAGCTTATTTAATATTCCCCCAAAGCCTAGCAGCAGGTGTAACATCTGCACCTTTTACAGGCGAGGAAGTCAGGCCTCAGGGTACTGAGCCACTTTACGGTTGGTTCCTCCTTAACTCTGCCATGCATTCTTCAAGCTGCAAATTCACCTCTGTGACATAACGGCAAGAACAGCACCCCCCGATCAAGTGACTGCTCTGTGCCTAGCACGGGGCTAAGCCTTTGCAGGCCTCTCTAATCCTCACCACAGACTGGAGGCGGGGCCCCTGCTCCACTCTACAGCCCCTAAGCAGTAACCTAGAGTTTCCACCCAGGCCTGTCTGGATTCAAAGCCCATGCTCTTTCTGCCACCCAGCCAGACACTAACTGCCCTATCTGGCCACCTCTCAGCAGAGGAGAAAGGGGCAGAGATGAGCCGGGCGTGGTGGCTCACGCCTGTAATCCCAGCACTTTGGGAAGCCAAGGAGGGAAGATCACGAGGTCAGGAGTTCGAAACCAGCCTGACCAACCTGGAGAAACCCTGTCTCTACTAAAAATACAAAAATTAGCCAGACATGGTGGCGCACACCTATAATCCCAGCTACTCAGGAGGCTGAAGCAGGAGAATCGCTTGAACCCGGGAGGCAGAGGTTGAAGTGAGCTGAGGCTGCGCCACTGCACTCCGGCCTAGGCAACAGAGCAAGACTCCATCTCAAAAAAAAAAAAAAAAAGAGGCAGAGATCAGCCTTGTTCTGAGCCACAAGGCGAGGAACAGGCTGCATCCTCTTTGTTGGTGGCCACTGGGGTTTGGGGAACATCTTCTGACAGGGCCTGCTGAGCCGGATGTGGGTAAAAAGAAAGCCACTTTGACACTGACTTGTTTAGGACACAGAAACTGGCTTCAGAGACGCCTCACCCAGAGATCTTGTCCTTAAAGAATAGATTCAAGGAAGGGCAAGTGGGCGGCTGGGAGGGGGATTCGCTTGGTGAAGTGCTGCACCGGGAGACCAGGCTCGGGCATCCCACTGCACCCGCTGCAGCTCCTGTAAATCTCAGCAAAACGAGGCACCCGTGTGAACTCATTACCCTTCCATTACACAGCCCTGCCAGCCCTGCAGGCCAGGGACGAGGCTGCAGGAGCCTGTGTCCAAGCCAAGCACCAGGAGGCGGGGCGCTGCTCAGGGTCTCCTTGTATACCCTACTCAGCCAGCACAGCAGAATGGGCACAGCCTGCCACCTGACTGCACCCAGTGTCCCATGTCTGCAGGGCTCAGCCTATAGGGAGGACGTTAAATGTCCAGGGATGATGCAACCCAGCAGCCCCCATGAGTCCAGAAAAGAAGTGGTGGGTGACTATCTGCTTCATTCAGACCAGTTCATCTCCTATCTTTGGGAATAGTCTAGCTTCGGTGCCTGTCATGGGTTCACCCCAACTAGAACCCCTCTCAGGCTCCGAGAATGCCCCTCAGCCCTCATCCTTTGGGTGTGTTCCCATAAGCCTCTGTATCCTGAGACCCATTTGTGGTGACAGTGATCTGAACTACCACTGTTAACAGGGTCTATTTGTCAGGCAGTCCCTAGGCCGGGATTTAAGTTTATCATTAGCTCCAATTTACAGAAAAACTCAGCCTCAGAGAGAAATGACTTGTTCAAGGTCACACAACCAGGAAGCAGTAAAGTCTGAATTTAAACGAGGTCTGCCGGAAGTTCCAGCCCGTAAGGACTGTCCATGTCAGTACCTGTGGTCACCCGCACTTGTCCCTCTCTCTGAGAGCACCTAGACAGACCTCCAAGAGACTTCAGGAAGGGTTGCCAGTGCATGTCTTGGCAGAGTTGGTAGAACTTTCACTGTCCCATTTATCCCTGTATCCCCAGCAGTCAGCACGAGGCACTGCCACCTAACAAGTTATATATGGAGAGAAGGAGTCAATCAAGACTGGCTCTCCCTGCCCAGCGCCAGGTCCCCATGCACCTCCCTTTCCCAGGCGCCAGCTGCCCACTGCGGCTCATCTGCTGGCTGCAGAGGGAAGGCTCTGCCTCACTGCTAGGAATGCTACAGGTACTGGATGACAGGGTTCCCTGGGCCCTGCCAAGGCCGCTCCTGAGACAGACAACCCAAGGGACCTCAGAGCCTGCCATGGGCTCACTGGGACAACTGCCAACCTCATTTATTACAACAGAAATCATAAATCACTCATGTAGACATGGCCCTTTGCTTGTTCGTACACACTCATTTATATCCTTCTAGCGGTTCCAGTATGAATGATGAACGAACAGGGGCCCAGAGAGGTTAAGTGCCTTGAATTTGGCCACACAGCTCAGGACGGAGTGAGGACTTGCGCTCAGGTCATCCGATTCTAACTCCGGGCTCTTTCCATCATTCCAGATGGCTCAAGCATGCGCCACCAGGCTGGGTGACTGGAAAGGGGCCAGAGGGTTGAGATTTAAATCCTAGGCCCTGAGGAATTTTACAAATTGGAATCTCTCCCAGAAGCGTTTCCTGCGATGGTCTGAGCCATACCTGTGCCCATGCTACGTGCAGTTTGAGAAGTCAACGGCCCCTCCCACCACCAATTCCCTGAATATTTGCAAACTATGTTTAGAGAGAAAGAGGAAGCTTTCTTGATAACTTCCCTGTTTATACTAATAGCAAAAGCTCCAACAACTTTGATGAGATCTGCACCAGCAATCTTTCCCTAGGGCTGATGCAGGATATTTAGGGAAGCTCTGTGTTCTAGGCAGGTAAGATAGCCAGGTTCCTAATGGGAATCAACATATCTCTTTAATTCATATTTGAAGTAAAAGAAACATCTCTCTTCCTTCCTCCCATTTGGCTCAGGAATTCATCTCTAAAAATCTATCCCGAGACAAAATTTTATGCCCAAAGATAACTCATGCATTATTTTTAATAGCAAAAAAATGGAAACAATCTTTGCCCAACATTAGCAAGATGGTTAAATGAATTATGGCATATCCATACAATCACAGACACCATTAAAACATTCTTTATGAAAACATTTAGATGACTTCAGGAAACACTTACGATGTAACACGAAGCCAAAAAAAAAAAAAAAAAAAAAAAAAAGGAAAAGGCATTCCACAGTCAGGAGAATCTTTAGTCGATGCTATCTGTATTACACCACTGGTGGAAGAATGGCTATTCAAACAAAAAAAAAAAAAAAAAAAGCAGAAAGGACATAAAATGGTATATAAAAGGGAAAAAAAAGGAGAAAGAAGAAAAGATTGAGAGGAAATAAGCAAAGATGTCGATGGAGGCTGCACCTACAGAGCAGAACAGATTATTATTATTATTTTTTGCCTGATTTGCACTTTTTTGATACTTTCCTTTACCCCCATACACTCCTAGGATAATGAGAAAAATAAATACATAAAGCTGCCCCAGTTCACACCCCATTTCCCAGAAGAGAAGTGAAATGTCTGAACAGCCAGATAGGTGACGATCTGACTGGTGAAGGGTAGGAGGGTAGATCCCTGTCACTTTTTCTATAACATGGACACCTCTGATAGGGCCGCACACGATGGGGGTGATAGGGGGATATCCCTTGTAAATTTGCCTTTAACATTTTCCTGGGAATTTCCATCTCAGACTCAGTTATTTGGTTCCTCACTTCAGGAGACTGTATTTGTAAGGGGTGAGGAATCCAGGTACGGGACTGCCTCTCTCCAGCCCCACACCACTCCTGTCCCTCAGGGGAGACGACGGCCAGGCTGCAGACAAGGGGGATGGCAACTTGCATGGGTGTTACTATTGGAATCTGAGGCCATGCCCACAAGAAGGCAACCTGCAGTCCCTCTGAGCCACAGAGAGAGGCTCCCAAGGCTTGGGGTTAGGAGAATCCTGTGGCTGGGCGAGGACAAAGACACCAGCAAGTGGGGCTGCAGATAAAACACAATGAGTTGCCAGGCAGCAGCAGGACCCATGCCACTGCTCCTGATGTGTGGCTGCTCCATTTGGCTTCCAAGTAGCTTGTGAGCCATGACTCTATACCCTTTTGTTTTTGCTGCTGTTGTCGTTTTGAGATGGGGTCTCAATATGTTGCCCAGGCTGGACCTGAACTCCCAGGCTCAAGGGATCCTCCCACCTCATCCTCCCAAGTGACTGGGAGTACAGGTGAAGGCCACCACGCCCGGCCCCCAACGACTCTAAAAATCATGTACCCAACCCCATCAGATATGTGTTCAGCAATCTACGAAAACATCCAAGACCATTTCATGGCGACACTCCAGAGGAGTGGATTTAAACCTGGTCCTCTGTGTTCTTTAGGTCTCCAAACCTCCATGGGAACAAATCTCCATCCCTCACTATCCCTACTCCCATTTCCAAGTTTCTTCACTTTAAAAAATAAATGATAATTTCATACAAAGCAGTCTGTAAGGCTAGAGAGAAGCATATAGGATTCCCCCTAAATCTAGGAGGACTCAGAAGCCTGAACAGCCCAGAGGAAACACAGACTTGGAAGACCCCAGATGTGAAGAACTGAGGAGCCCCCACAACTCAGGAGGTGAAAAGGCAAAAGTAAAATTCCACTCAGTCACCAGGCGGGCAGTGGGTCCCTCCCCATATCAAAGTGGTTTCAATCGACTCACCGAACATGTTACCCTCGTAGCCGTCTTTCGTTAGTGGACGGAGTTCGTTTTTCCCCATTGCATAACGCTTATAGCTCTGCCAAGCAAACTGCATCATCTGCAAGAAAAAGCAGCACAGAGAGAACCTCAGTGTGACGATTCCTGGCAGTGCGCACTGGCCGCCTGGCTTTGCCCTTTGCAACAGGATTTTAAACTACGTCCAAAAAATAATCTTCCAAATTTTCCAAATTGAAGAAAGTGACTTCCTCTCAACATGATTTTATTTGTACAGTTATAGCTGCTGGGAAGGTCATTCTTCTTAGACAACACCATGTGTCTAGGGCCTACCCACAGATTTCTTAGAGAAGACAGAAAAAGCACTAAATTCTAGACATCCTTCAGTGCCAAAGTGAAAAGTCACCTCTTCCAGGAAGCCTTCCCTGTTTTGCTCGCTTAAAGTCATCCTCCGAAGGGAAGGAAAACGAGTGCTTGCTGTAACGGAACACTCCCCTGAGCTAGGTATCGTCAACCCATTTTATAGCTAAGGAGACAGGTTGTAGACATGAGGTAACTCATCCGAGATCGCTCGGTCAGTGAGCATGTTGGGAACTGAGCCATCCCCTCTGGCTCCAAAGCCTTAGGTCTGTCCCCAAAGCCTTGGTTTTGTCCCCTAAAATCACCATTCAAGCTCTTTGAACTCCTTTGACCTATCCTGGCCTCCCATGCACTCCAGCTCACCCCAGTTACTTGTTGTTCCCCTAGCTCTGGACCATAAACTCCTTGAGGCTAGAAACAACACTTGCCTTGCCTCAGTTTCTCCCACAGCAACCAGCACAGGGCTTGGCACAGGTAGGCATCAATGGATGCTTAAGGACTGTCACCCAGAGTATGCATGAGTTCTTACGGTGCAAGGCAGCTACATCGGCTCTCAGGAGCGTCACGCCAGCACCTTGCTCCCCAGCTGCCCCAGGATCTTCAGGCTGAAGCAGATGCAAGGTGACAGTCCACCCCCAACCCTGTGCTGCAGCCCCCAAGGTCTCCCTCATTTGCCCTTATGGTGTGCCCCTTTTCCCTTGGCATGGCTGGCTGCAGAGGGAGCACAACACAGCAGAGTTCTGGAGTGACCTGTGGAGCAGAGGAGGAGCCCGGGGCCCGCAGTGGCAGCAGAGCTGAGACGAAGGTGGATGGGGAGGCAGCCTAGTGTGCCGGGAAATACTCAGGCTCCCAGATCAGAGATGCCTAGGTCCTAATCCCACCTCTGCCGCGATCTCTGTGACTCTGGCATGAAATCAGTTGCATCAGCTGAGATCTGCTTTAGCAAGGGACAAGGCCAGCCTTGCCACCATCCTGATAGGTTGAAATGAAAGAAAGTAGTGGGAATGCCCAGTTTCCGACCAGACACAGCAAGCGATTGACAAACACTAGCTCTGTTTCCTCCTTGACCTTTAAAATACTGGTTCTCCAAGCCTCGGCTATCCAACCCTCCTTTCATCCAGTCTCTTAGCTCTCAAATGTTAGCTGGCATCAGAATCACTGGGGGGCTTGTTAAAACAGGTTATTGGGCCCCACCCTGAGTTTCTGATCCAGCAGGTCTGGGGTGGGGCCCAAGAATCTGCTTTTCTACCAGTTCCCATGTGCTGCTGCTGGCCCATGGGCCACATCTGAGAAGCACCAACCTGTTACATTGTATCGCTCACTTCCAGACACTGTCCTGCATCCCTTGGCTTTCCCCTCCTCTCTCCCAGCCTGTGTTTCCCGCCTTAGCGGCCCACTTTCTAGGATATCACCACCTGTATTCTCCATGCTCGGCCACTCCTGGTGCCCACGCTTAGAAGACGTCTCTTCCAGGCACACCAGGACAGTAAACAGCTGCTCTCACTGCTGCAGCCCAAATGCACAGACCAGGAGGGCAGGTAGACCTGACAGGTGCATGGCCTGGACTCTCCGTGAAATGGCAGAATAATCTAGCACCACTACCCCATTTCACAGATGATGAAACTGAGGTCCAGAGATGAAAATTGCTCAGGGCAGCACAGCAGCCAGGTCAGAACCTGGCTCACTCATCTCCCAGAGCAGCAGACACCCCCCAGGCTTGGCCAGACATGTGGCTTCCCATGTGACACACATGCAAACGTCATGGTAATACAGTCAAGCACTTGGCACGGGCTTTGAGTCCTGGTTCCATTCCTCTGTTATTTTCTACTTATCTTCAATCGGCAATAACAACAAATAATTGCCAGGCATGAGTGCTTGAGAGAGAACGGCCTCCTCCCTCAGTCTCTCTTATCTGGGGGCTTTCTCTATTAAGTCAGTGTTGGGGGAGAGCGGGCAGGTGGCTGGGGGGCTGGGGTGGGGAGCAGCAAGCTGTTAAAGCATAAATGACAGCAGAAAAGGAGGAGGAGAGGTCTAAGCGGGGGGCCACACCCCACCCTGAAAATTCCCCCTACCTAGAGAGAGAGAAGTGGGTGTTCGGGAGTAATTACGAGAATCACAGGTATCTACGTGGTCTCAAAGAAGCTGTCACTGCAGGAATGTGAGGTTTGGAATGTGGCCCGTTTTCACAGTCATCCACAACAAGGGAGGGAATGAAGGCACAAAACATCTCAGCATCACTGGGGACTGAATTCACAAGGCAATCAGGGCTGACTCTTCGTGTTTTCGTTCCTTCAATGCACACGTGCCTCCTGACTCAGGCCACGGGTGGCTCAGCCTAGATGCTGGGTGAGCAGGGGACAGGGGATGAAGAGGACAGCCTCCCTCCCAGAAAGGTGGTCCTTCTCTCTCTCCCTAACACACCCTAAGTAAGCCAATACTAGGTGTCCTGTCCTGTGTCTAGGCTATAGCCACGGTGGGAATGCACTCCTAGCTCCTACCCTCTGCCCCCCTGCCAACTGCCCATCTTCCTTCAGGTCCCAGCTGAAAGGGCACCTTTGCAGGGAGGCCTTCTTCCCAGCCCGAAGTCAGACACCATCCCACATTCCTGATGCAGACCCATGGTGGCCTGCAGTCAAGCTTTTATACCTGCAACTATTTGGTCAGGCCCCCCACCCCCATTCACAGCTACATGCCCCACAGTGCATCCAAGGGCCGGCACAAAGAAGGTGCTTGTTAAGTATTTGCTGAATTGGCTCTGGAGCTTAACACATGGCTGGAAGACTCAACGTGGACCACACGCTTCACAGGCAAGACATGTAACAGGCAAACAAGCCAGAGAGGAGGGGCTGCTGGACAACAGGTATTCAGAAGAGGGCAAGTGTGTGTCTCAAGGGAAGCTTCGTGGATGGATGAACAAGAGTTCTGATGGACAGGTAGAACTGTGAGGGGCAGAAGAAAGAGTGACCCACAGAAAGGCTAATGTTTTCACTCTGGAACTGGTGATGTGTGCCATGGGTAATACCTGGACTTTAGAGACAGACAGTTCCTGACATCATGCTTAGGCAGTTCTGAGACCTCAAAGGTCACCTGGGGAAGTTTCTTAATAGTAGTCTCTCTCTCTCTTTTTTTTTTTTTTTTTGAGATGGAGTCTTGCTCTGTTGTCCAGGCTGGAGTGCAGTGGTGAAATCTCAGCTCACCACAACCTCCGCCTCCCAGGCTCAAGCGATTCTCCTGCCTCAGCCTCCCAAGTAGCTGGGATTACAGGCGTGCGCCACCACGCTCAGCTAATTTTTGTATTTTTAGTAGAGATGAGGTTTCACCATGTTGGTCAGGTTGGTCTGAAACTCCTGACCTCAAGTGATCCACCTGCCTCGGCCTCCCAAAGTGCTGGGATTACAGGTGTGAGCCACCATGCCCAGCCAGTGGTCTCTTTTTGAACACTCTCAGTGACGGGCTGCTCTCCACCTTCCCAGGCAGCCCATTCGATTGTGGAGTTTCACAAAGTTCTTCCTTAATCAACGGAAATCTGTTTTCCCTTATGGGCCACAGGGGAGACAATTCTTCCTGCTTCCATACCACAGACCTTCAGCCACGGGGAGCCAGCTCTTGAAGTGCACTCACCTACTGAGCCCTCTGAAACTGCAGACCCACACGACATAGCGTTCTTCTAGGTGCCCCACGCCTCTGTCACTCACTTGCTGTGGCTGGTCATTCTTTTGGAAATGAGCAGAAACCGAAGTGCCCACTTGCTCTGGCCACCTCTGTGCCAGATTGTGTAGGTGTGGACTTGTCATTTGTCCCTAATAACTTCCATCTCCTTGGACTCTGCCTATCATTCCATGCTGTAAGGATCTCTCTGGTTAGATCCAACCTTTCTGGAACCAGATCTTATTCAACACATGTGTCTGCCTCCTCTGGGTAATCTGCAGACTTGATGGGACTGCTATCTGCATCTACCCTCAGGTTTTGAACCGACACATAAACAGCCAGCTGAGGACTAAGTCAGGAAAACAGCCTCAGGAGTCTCTCTCCTGGACCCAGCTCCCTTCTTTGTTTGTTTGTTTTGTTTTGTTTTTCTTTGATGTCATTCATCAGCAAGTAAGAAATCTGCCAAGCAATCCGTACAACCCCCGATTCTCCATTTTTGTACACCAAGATATTGTGAAAGACAGGCTAAAATATAAAAACACTCTGCCCCAGTACAGCTAGTACAGAAAAATAAATTGCTTTTATGATTGTTGTTAGAGAACCTATTTTGGCTCCTATAGATCATATTTTTTATCCTAAATGCTTGCAAATCACTAACTTAAAAATCTGTTAGTCCCACTAGGATGGCCATACTAAATAAGATGGATGATGAAAAGTGTTGGCCAGGATATGGTGAAATCAGAAGCCTCATACATGGCTGGTTGCAATGAAAATGGTGCGGCCACTTTGGAGAACAGTTTGGCAAAAAAAGTTAAATATGGAGTTACCATATGACCTAACAATTCTAATTCTAGGTACGTATCTGTGCAGAAAAGTTAATGCAGCAGATCTTAGACGTCTGTCCTCAGAAAGGCCTGCTTGCGAGGTGAGTCCTCAGCTGGTGTCTAGGAACCTGGGTTTTGCGAGTGCTTCTATCAGTCTCTAACTGATAAAGGTGGTTTCCTATGTCTGGACTGTTTGTACAATGTGGCTTATGCTAAACAGCTACTTTCCTTCTGGAGTCTGGAATGCTGGTACTTGTTAGGAAGGGGGTGG